TTCTCCAATCCTACTTTATCAAGTATCATGAATAATTCTCATTGGCTGAATGAAGTTGATCAATAATGAAGATGAATTATGATATTTTGCGATAGTATCTATAATTTTTCACTTTCGTTATATTACAATATGTTATTCATAACTTGTCAGGGATTTTTTTGAGTAATGAATTCGTTCCTCAATGAAACGGATCTATTTTCTAGGAAAGTTGCAGATTATATCTTGCAACAGCGCCTAATACTTCGAGTCCGTCCACACCACTCGACATACTGACAGGCACAACAATAGGAAGGAGGAAGGAGCCACGGGTGTCGGCTTCAATCTGTACTGACCGATGGCAGTAAATTAGGAAGGATAGTATAATTGAATGTAGCCGATAGTGATTCATTGATTTAATGATATTTTCGTTCAGGATCGAGCTCCATTCGAGATATTCCAATGAATAGATAAAAAAACCATAACCTGTCAGAATGGAGCCAACTACCTTCTGTATTCTTGCTTCGACTGTATTTGTGATTATTTATGTTTTTGTTTTCCAGTTTTACTTCTTCTTCTATTTTTTTCAATCGTTTTTCATTCGTTAGCTATTCGTTAGCTATTCGGCTATTCAGCTATTTTCAGCCAAGATTCAGAATGTACGTCACAGTTTTCCGCCCCGAAAATTAGAAATTGCTTTAATTTGAAAATGAAAACGACTTGGACTCTATCTGTCGCCATTTTGTACAATGTGGACATAAAACTGGAGAGTTCCGAACTTATTTTATGAAAATACATCTGAAGGAAATTCCCCTATTTTTGCTGGTGAATTACCTACATTTCTCGCCAGTGAATGAATTTTGGTCCAAGTTAATAGTCGATACTTTTTCGATTGAAACGCCCTGTATCTTTTTCCACAGTAATATTCAATCAAGGCATATATTCAGTCGTATCGCCATATTTTGGCCAAACAATCCGCTCTTCTCCTATTTCTCAATAGTTATGACTCACACTGTATACAGGGTGTTACTGAAACTGAAGCAATATGTGTAGGTGTTAATGAAGAATACAAGCACAAAACAAGAAGAACAAAAACGCATCCTTATCGGAAAAGAATTGTGTGCGTAGGACTACACGTTAGAAGTTATAACTTCTATATGCTGGCTGATGGGACCATGTACACGAAGCCATAAAAGAAACTTCTATGACTGGTCATCAGTATTCTCAATATTTTTTTGACAATATACGGAAAATCTGAATGAAGTTATATTAATTGTATATAATATTCCCACGTATTGGCGAAAATGATGAAATAGAACCCAATAACAATTAAAAAAAGATTATACCGACCGACACCGACTCTCTGCGCTGGAAAATGGGGAACGAGGAACCACCACAGAACTCAAGGTCTATGAGTTCTGTGGGAACCACAGACAGAACCTGACGACGTCACGGTATCGTGATAAGTAGCTTCACAGTTTATGGAGTACTACTATAATCTTTAAACTGAGGTAGCATGATTGTATAGTAGCCCGAGTAGTTGCCAACATCCAAAATAAAAATCAAAAATTGATGTGATCTAATGCTCGCTATATACAATTTCCACAAACGCTTGTGTCGGATTTTATCATTTTTTGAATATTGCGTTTGGTTTAACGGAAAAAACAGTAGATTTCATGCCTAAAATAGAAGAACACCAGAACACAACACTGTTAATCGAGTTGGTCTGGCAACGTTGCTGCAGGTGCAGGTACAGCATATACAGGATGTTTCAGATTGAAATGTTCATATGATACCTGCAGATAGAGGATACTTTGATGTTTCTGAATCACCCCGCATTGATGTGTCTACGGTCTTTCAAAACGCCATTTTCTTGATTTTGGCTAAATATTCATCTGGTCAAAATTTTGAACCACTTTGCAAAATCTATTCATACTTGGTAGTAATATTCCACTTTTATAACCTATCAAAACTGAACAGAAATCGAGATCAGAATCCTGGGTGTCTTAAGGAAAAACAGAAAACTTTTTCTATTTCTGTTTTGATATTTGAAAAAAGCGGGAATAAGTGAACTTCTTTTCACGGGCGCGCACCCATTTCGACATATATATTTCATTATTATTTTTCCGAATATTCTGCCTAATTTTGAGGCATTGAACTCGTAATTCAAAATACGATTTAAATACAATAAGAAACTAACTTTTTTCAAAAAAGAGTCAGATTATATCGACGACTGGAACATTTGGCACGATAATACACTTCACTGTTTTACCACTTAACCGAATTTTTTATTAAACGCCTCGAAACGTGTTTCGCTAACTATGTTAGCATCTTCAGGAGAAGATTGAATAGTTTCGATATCATCATCATCAGAAGTATAAGGAAAAAGTTTTTTTTTATGTTCTGGTTCTCATAAGTAATTTCTCCACTTTTCGAATGTTAAGAACAATAATACAAACAAAAATATTGGGATATATCATTGGTTTTCATATTGGCAACGCTGCTCTCTTGTTTAGGGACACACGCGTATACAAACCAGACGATTTGTAGGATATTTCTCACCTAAGAGAGAATCGCGCTTTCGTCGAGAAGGAAACGCGAAAACTGATAAAGGGGTAATTAATTTTCAAGAAGCATCAGACGAAAACATTTGAGGGAACTTCAAAGAGCTGCAGATAAAGAACGAATTGAGGCAAACAAGTGAATTACGGCATATCTCAGGCCCAGTGGCACCGTGGAACGGGGTTACTTGGAACACTTTTCAGATACAAAATAATTATACGTGGCAAAGTTATTGATCATGGTAGGAAATTTTGCTTTATCATTATGGAAGATGGAGTTTATATACTATTATCATCCTAATGATCATCTTTGCCTGTTCAGTAGTTCGTTCAAGTAACTCGCTCATAGGAAAATTCTGGAACAGTGATACAAAAGTACAGTTGTAGTCAATTTATCGACTCGTGTGCATACTTTGAACTTGTGTATTTGTTTAAGGAGTTATCTATATAAACCAATCCGGAATCAGTTTGTTGTGAATTGATCCGATAAATGAAATATTTCAAAGGTAATACAATACCTAGATGCATTTCATGGAATATTTGAAAAATACCTTGAATATAATTCCTAATAACACAATCATTCACGCCTGATCCAAAATTTTTTAGGAATTACATGAAAATGGTACGGTAGCGAAGAGCTATATTGAACAAGGTATCCCCTCGAAGAACAAAATTGTTACAATGATAGCCCATTTCGTTTCGAAAAAGGAAATGTTAACGTTCCGAACGAAACCGAATGCACATTGAGGAGTATTCATCATCGGTCAACTCACAGAACTTCAAACTTGGAACTCATTTTCCAGGAACATTTGGAAATTGAAATTTCTATTTGAGAGAAAATAACCAGTCCTTTGGCAAGATGATCTTTATTCATTTCTTATCGGCAACTAAAGTTATGGTAGATATGTTCAACAAAATTAGGACTCAGTAACCATCATGAATAATTATTGATTTCTCATGGATACCTGATACCATCCACCACCATGTTGCTAATTCCACCAATATAGTTCAACTCCACCGTGGAGTTAATTTAGGAGTCCAATGATATAATGGCGAATCAATCCTCAAACTAGAATCAACAACACACAGAGCTAATTGCTCTGAGAACTTGAAATTCATTTTCGAAAATATAATTTCAATTCCATATTCACATTGGGAAATATGTGAGTTATTTAAAAATATACCTATACTTCTTCTGCAAAGAATAATATATTATCAGAATGTAGTCATGTGATGTCTCTTACCTGATGATGTCAAAATATTTCTGCTTGAAAACAGAAAGTTCATTGAGGCTTATTTGAGAAAGTACGATTCACCTATTACTTATTATTCAGTTGAATTTGAGAAACAAGAGCAAAACACAGACCTATATACTATGATACACAAGTTAATAGTCACAAGAATATTTTTGTTCCTGAAAATCTACACCTACCACTATTAACCTGTTCCATTGAATGTTAGATTGATTACCGTTAGTGAACACATCACTTGTCATCAGTGACTTAACCACTAATCACAAATGCTATAACATCATAATGAAACCGTGGACAGTGGCAACTACCAGATGCGAAGGCTTTGATGGCGCCGATGTATTCGTTGGCTCGAAATTTTTTGGTCGTAAATAACACCACCATATACAGACAATATTATATAATTTGGCAACACATCAGATCATCAGCATATATCTATGAGTTCAATATTGAATCTGAAAATAATTAAAATGTTTCTGATCATTTATATTTGACCAAGTGGATCGAGTGATCGAAGCAGACTCAATCTTAGAACAATAATTTTTTCCTCTTGGCGCATATGATATGTCCAGATGATATTCGCGATGGAAAATAACACATCGCCCCACCTGATGGCAACAAGTTGAACGGATTCTTTGGATGAAGTGACCAAAGAGCACAAACAAAAAACAAATGTGAACCAATAAAATCAAAGAAAACAGGCAAATATGTCCAGATGATATTGGCGATGGAAAATAACACGTCGTTCTACCTGTCGACAACAAGTTGAACTCTTCTGAGCGTTTTTTTTTTGATGATGTGACCAATGGGCACAAACAAAAAACAAACGTGAACCAATAAAATCAAAGTAACAGTCAGTGTTGACAGCTTTCAAGAGCTCCGATAGGCGGCGTATATACGCTTATTTTTCATCGCGAATATATACTAGCATCATATTTTGATACGAATTCAATGAAGATTGAAGAACCATCGTAACTAATGAGAAATAACAACCCGAAATTGCATGGCTACATCGAACAGCATTATGTCATTACGTTTCTTACACAAAAACAGTCTTGAATCAGTAGATATCAACTTGAATTATTTCATCTTCAAAGATTCGAAAACAAATATTTGAAAACTACGACACTGATGAATAACAGTAGAAAATTGCACACTTTGCACAGTATAATCTTGATCTTCATGAAAATTCCTAAAATGAGTATATTCTTACCTTCTGTTGGATCCAGTCGTTTCGCTCTTCTACCATGTTTAGAGTTATTATGTACAAACATGTTATCGGAAATGGCTAAAAGGGGACCGTCGACAGCTACTTGCGTTGATATCACAACCTAGAAAGAAGAATTACGATTAAAAAAGAAGGATTGAATCATTCATATATCATGAAGGTATTCATATGAATTAGAACAACCTAATAACAGATCAAGTGATTTAGTTAAGTAGATTCGATGCGAAAAAGCTATTCTCGATTTGAGTTGCGAAATATCCGGATTGTATATCAATCTTCTTCAAATTTGAAACACTCAATTTTTTGCATCAACCTCTAAGACCACACCGATACCAACTAAATTATTTGAAAAGCAAACCCCTACTTGTGATGCATCATTGGAAATTCCATAAAAAATGCTATCTTATAGTATGAATATGTTGCCAAGGACAGCCCTCCTCTGATTTGTTTGTGCAAAGTGGATCATCTTGGGTGTCTATTGAGGCGAATGTGCCCCGTAGACAGCCTCACTACCAATTCAAGGTTTCGTCTGTTCAGAGATGAGACCTCTCCTTTGAGCCTCTTCGAAGATTCTTTCATGTGGAGCTATGATTGTCTCATTCCTGATGTATCCTGCCATGTTTTGAGGAAGTTTTTCTGCAGCTGTTTCTCTATGGTGGACATTGCCAAAGAATTTGGTTTTCCCAAGATTGATTTCGGTCCGACCAGGGTCCATCCTGAACCAATCCAAGCCAGTCTGTCTGTCTCCTCGTATCCGGGTATCCCTGAGTGTCACAGGACCCACATGAGGCTGACTTTCATTGGTTTTTGACAGGTCATTCATGTCCTTTCTGCACTCAGACACCAAATTGGTAGTGATCCTATTAGATTGCGAAGACAGTATATCTTCTTTGCATGCTGTCCGAGCATATGGTGATTGATCTACGACCTCTCATGATCAGGTTTTCTTGGACACAGGTTAGTATTGCAAGTACTTCAGCCTGGAACACTGAGGCATATTCAACCTAAGGAACCGAGGTTTATTTTCCTGTTTCTTCATTGTACACCCCTGCACCTGAACTGTCTTCAAATTTGAAGCCATCCGTGTAACAGATTGACTCATCAAGAGGAGGCACGCCTTCAGGCAAGGTTTTTTTATGTTCTGGTTCCCACGAAAAGGAATATCCTGTAATGTTCAGAGAACATCGTGAGAACCAAGGGAAATAAGGTATATAGGATTTGGTGTTCTTCTCGAATTTCTGGCGGTTATATGCCTCGGGGAACACCTCAACCCGACGGATTAATCTCGCAGGGACTGCCAAGAGGAGAAAAATTGTTGATATTTGAGAGGAGCATCGTCCATGAAAATATTTATATAATAGATCAAGATCGCCAACTTTTATACGGTGTTCCACAGAAGTGAATGAGTTTGTGAGCAAGGCATCACCCACGAGACTAATTTGGACAGAATCCAACAGTTTCAGGGTATGTTTGGGTGCTGCACTCCAACTATGGTAACAGTAATTCAGGACAGGTCGGATCTGTGCCTTATAGAACATTAGCAGCTGACTGGAAGTGAAATAGCTCCTGGCCCGAAACAGAAAAGCAAGTTTTTGGGATGCACTGTTAGCAATTGTTCTCACGTGACTTTCCCAAGAAAGGTTATTGCTGACAGTAATACCAAGCATCGAAATGAATGTTTTCGAATGTATGGTTACTTCTGACAAGCTTATGATGGGTACAGTGGGATCGGATTTTCTGAAGAAAAGGCATGCTTATGTTGTGTTTGCATTGAAATCTACCAAGTTATTGGATCCCCATTCGAGAATTGTTGCCAAGTCCATATTCATTTTGTGAACATTTCTTCTTCGTTCGTTTCTGATTTGCCTGACTGCTATTGGAGCCCTGGAAGAGAAGGCGTTATGGAGGGTACTATCATCATTCATCTCATCAAGATACTGTCTCTTCTCATCATGAGGATGGGTCAGCTTTGCTTTTCCCCATTCCACGTGAGAGGGGGTGTCCATGATCTGCTTAGGTTCCGATCCACCGTTAAGTCGCAGATCCTATCTCCTTCGTGTTGTGTGAACAGGTGTAGAGGCGGCAGACCTAACAGAGCATCAAGAGCCCTCGTAGGCGTCGTTCACAGAGAACCTGGTTATTCCCAAGCAGGTCAGTCTCACGACTAGCCCCAGGAAGATATAGCCCATTGTGAGTTCTCAAATTGAAGACCTCGGTGCAAGAACCGGGCAGCTCCAATTTTCTGAAATGTTGGGGAATGGGAAAAACTTAATATTTTTGAGAAACTTGAAAAAAATTATGCTAAATGGTATGAATCCTTTAGAGTTAAGTTAGGTAAGCTGTATTAACTTCGATAGTAATTTCCATTTACATTATAGAAGCTGAAAAAGAAGTTTGAAATGATGCTCCAAAAAGACAAAATTCTGAAAATATAGTTGAACTCGTGTAATAATTTTGCTTTTTCATCGAGAATGAAATATATAACGAAAAATATTGTGAACAAATAGTAATTTGAACATTGGAAGAGTCGCTGACGTTTCCTGCGTCTTGATCTTCGTAAACATTGCCAGAATTTGGGTCCTCTTCATCAACAGGTATGTTTTCGGAACATATTCACTCCCCGAATCTTGAAAGGGCTCACTTTCACTTTCCGACGACATTACATTGTATTGCATGAAACAAATGATCAAAATAATCACGCCACATACGATGGAAGACGCGGGAAGGCTTGCCACTAATAACCTCACTCCGACATCTCTCACTACACGCATACATTTCGGTGCTAAAATCGGGTAACTCCTGGAGTTGCCCGACTCTAGCACCGTCATGGCTTACATTCCAGTGCTAAAATCAGGTAACTCCTGGAGTTGCCCGACTCTTGCACCTCAATGGCTCAGGTAAATCCTTTCCCGTGTTGACTTAATAGGAAATTGTTGGATTCGCTTGATTCTTGCACCAAAAGATGCGCAAGAAAAAATTCTATATGTTAAATACAATAACCCAATTTCGGCATAAAATGGAGTTCACGGTTCTTGCACCGAGGTCTCCAATAATTGCCATCCTGTATAACTTCGCTCCGACACACGCTCCCACATCTTACATCCGAGTCCGAATGGCCGTCGCCCTCCCGCCGCCGCTTCGCCGCTGCCGCCCCTCGAGCCGCCGCCGTCCCCATGGGAACGCGTGCCCCTCGCCGGGGGCAGGGAGGGGGTCCCGCGGGAGCGCGTACGTCCCCAGGGAGGAGTCTGTCTTGCGATGCACTTCCGCAGTTTACCTTGGCCGCAAAATGGCTGACTGGAGATCGGAGGGCCCCGAATGCACGGGAGTTTTCGTGGTCGGTGACACTAGAGTCTAGCCATAGCACCATAGCGAGGTAATACTGCTCACTATATCGTTGAGAAATGATAGACAAAAGACCCATCTTGCTCTCCTTGACATAGCGAAAGCATTTGACAAGGTGTGGCATGATGGTATATCTTGTACAAAATGATCGATATGGGCTTTCCTGAGGATTTGATTCAGTGTTTATTTCTGAAAAATCGGACTTTTCAAGTAAAACTTGATGATCAACGATCTGGTATCAAGCACATTGAAGCTGGTGTTCCTCAGGGTGCAGTTTTATCGCCGTACAGTTTATATACTAGCGATTTGCCGAGACCAGTGTTGTGCAAGATGTCGCTTTCTGCTGATGATACGGCAGTTCTGCATATTCGACAAGCATATATGGACCTCCAAAGCGCACTGAATTCTCTTCAGGAGTACTTCCTGAGATGGAAGATCGGAATGAATCCTACAAAAACACAATTAGTCGTACTGGGAAGGGAGCGGAGGCCTCCCAGAACCAGAATAGTCCTGGATGGTGATGAGTCAGAGTGGTCTTCACAAGTTAAATACTTAGGTGTACGAAGTAAATTGGGGTTGAGACAAAAATTGAATATTTATATCATGACTATCAGGCCAATTTTACTGTATGCCTCAGTAGTCTGGGGCCACACAGCTAAATCTCATTTCATCAGATCACAAACATAACAAATCAAAATCGCAAGAATGCTGACAGGATCTCCTTGGTATGTTCGGAATAACCAGATCGCCAGGGATCTGAAACTCCCTTCAATCGTGTCAGTCATTAGAGAACGAAACATCAAGACTTTCGAAAAAGCTGAGGTTCATGAGAATCAGCTTCTTTGAAATGCAGTTGATCATGACCCAGGTGATCAATCAAAGTTCAAAAGACCGAGATTATCCATAAACTAGAGAAAATATCGACATTATGGCCAAATTCACTATTCTCAAGTTTTCGATATTTATTTATTCCGTTCGATCTTTTTCTATTCTCAGAATGTATTTCTGAAACTCATTTGGGGCAGAAGGGCTGTTCGCATCAAACTTCAATACCGTGTTCATCTCGTTTCATAATAGATATCAGGATAAGAGGTACTCTTCTCTGGTCTGAATCAAATAAAAGAAAGATCCAATACTGCTCGCTGGGTCAATGACGGCTACATATCTAGACTGTCTGACGGGTCATACATGACTGTTCATTCAGCGAAAATCGCAAAATCTCCCTGTGATGAAATTTCAAAGGCATGTGGCGTCATCTACTTCCTGAGTGGCTTTTACACTTATATAGTATAAAGGTTCATCAAACCGCACCAAAAATTATGAGGTTACAACAACATTATGGATGGTACGTCTATCTCAATACATCGCTATTATGGCCTTGGACCACTTGAGCTTTGAAACCTTCAAATAATAATGCCATTCAAGTGGAAAAATCATCTTCGTCATTTTGTCAATATAACCTATGTTATTTGAAAACAACCGAATAAAAGCTCGAAATAATAGAAAAAAAATGACTTCTCCGCAAAGGACGGCAAGTAAGCCCCTCTGGTGGAGTATACACTGAACTGAGTGATCGGACAGTCATGTACAAACCAGACAGTCTAGATATTTAGCCGTCATTGGCTGGGTGCAAGAACTTGCAGCGACACAATAGTATATTATGTAACAAGTGTTATGAACGTCCTTTTAGTAACGAGTATTTTAAACGAGCGGAGCAGCGCGGAGCGAGTGTTTAATAAACGAGTGTCTAGAAGAGTTTATAAACGCGTTACACACTATGCTTTTTCTACGAACTCCGAAAATTACATTAACATACCTGCTATTCCTGCTAACCTACAAAATAATTCTAAAGGAATGGGAATTGAGAACATGATGCATGCAACCAGCGAGACACGTATAAGCGTTGATTGATATATTACGCTTACGCTGGGAAGATGCCCAACCTGTGTTATTTGCGAGTCGATGCCCCTCTCATCCCCTCGTCTATCGTTTAGCCACTGTGAGGTAGCGACTCCACTAGGCACATAGAACATGTCTGAACTAATTGTACAGATTACTACACTTTTGTACAGAATTACAGATCCCATCCCACCACGTGCTATCGCTCCAGAAATTTTTGTTTATCCTTGTCTTCTACGATGAGACCCGACCCGCCCGACCGGTTCCGATAAAAAAATGTTTGCTACGGTCGGTGAATCCCATGGACAGTATTGATTTTTTCCTCGGTTCCTTGCGGAGGAGAGAAGAACATATTATGATCTCTCACTCAGTTGGGTTCCTACTCCGTGGCGTTTTTTTAAATTCCCTTCCCTTGTGAATAACTTGTCATACTTTGCCTAGACCCTAGACCAATATAATTTGTATATTATCTAGAAAAACATCTCACGCCTTTTTCGTTGATTATTTTTTTTACTCAATTTGTATCCATTTTAAAGTTTTGTATTAATAAGACATTACAAAATCTTGATAATATAATCAATCTGAATGTGATAATTTCCCATCAGTTGATCGAAAATAAATAGTCAGATATTTTTGAATCTTTGATTGTCAATGGTTCACTATAAAAATGAAATAATATACATCATCTATAATAGGCATAATATACAGAGTGAGTCATAACTATTGGAACATATATAGAATTCATTTATTTATTGGATTACAAGAGTTGATGCTGCAAGCTTATGAACCATTTTTTACAGTATCTAGTTGTTGAAAAATATGAACTCTTTTTTGGTATATTTGAAGAGATGAAAACAAAATCAACAGAAAACAGCTACATTTCCAGTCTATATGCCACGATATAATATAATCATGAAATCGGCGTTGATATTTTGTGATACCAGTAACCTTTTCTGAGTAGAATCGATTTTTGGATGTACTAGGTACTTCCCCTCTTTGTCACACGGTACAAGGACATAATTGGGGTATCCAGGGAATGTCCCGCACATCCATAGGTTATCCAATTCGTGTCCCTGGTATATCTGATATCTATTCACATCAGAGTCATTGACTTTCATCAAAATATTGAGTTGAATTTTTATGAAAATGTTTGGTTTTTTCCGGTAAATAATTGTAATGAAAATAAAGAAAGTCAGAACTTCTCAGGAAATGACCATTTTTCGCAAACAGAAATCGTAAATGCATAATGCCCCTCATTTTTAAACATCCACGAATGATAATAATTATACCCAAATCCTAACAAAGTTGTATTCATTCAGGTTTCTGCAGTTTGGTCCTGTTTAAAAATCTGTTTGGTACATAAATTTCAGAAGGCATATCAGCCAATGGAGTAAGGTGCCTGCCTGAAAAAGCTAAAGGTCCCGGGTTCAAGCCCTACTCGACCTACATTTTTTTCTTTTGTCGAAGGGATGTCCCTGGAATATCCTTGGGACCTCCTAGGGATATCCTTTCTTCGTACTTGGTACATCCCAGGGACGTACCAGACGGAAATCCCTTGGATGCTTTTTTTGTCAGCCAGCTGATGTCCCTGGGACGTCCCTAGTATGTACTCTGTCCCGACAAAGGATATCTCTGGGATGTCCTAGTATAAAATTAGGGACGTCCCTGGGAAGTCCCTAGGATGTAATTGTGTTGTTAGGGCCACAAAGGACGGCTTGGCAGCCCTATCGCCGACAAACGCACCGAGTCGGCCGCCCCACATAAATCAAAGGAAATTATTGGCACTCCAAGTTTCGGCGATACATAGGTCGGATCATATACCAGTATAAAATACTTTGGATTGATAGCGGTATAGAATTGTCACACGCAATGTTCCGTGTTTTTCATGTGATAAATATCAGTAATTTCAATAATAAAAATTTCAAAAATTGTACATAGCTCTGACAAGAAAATGATTTGCGACAGTGAATTATCGTTTGATTTAGTAATTCGACATAATGAAATATGAAATTCCACTCAAACAGACCCATTTAGATTCAGTTCTAGGGTAAAATACACCAAGGTGACAACACTGGTCCGGGTTCGTGAATTTCAATCAAATTTATGAGCAGCTTATATATTGATATCCGCTGACCAGTTTATTCCACAACCGCCAAAAATGGAAGCATTTATTGTTGAGACATTAAATTTTGTGATTCACTCCAATTCAATTTCTATAAACTTTTTTCATGATCTCACGTCCGTGATGCGCTCGTTAGAAGCCTCAGACGAATAAAAGAAATACAACTATTACTAACAAATTCGAATTTACCGCCATATTAGTTAGAATCGTACTGATTGATCATGGATTCGATACAAGCGTTCCGGATTATGGATTGTTTAATTGTTCCAAGTCGCACGCCATCTGCATTCCAATAGATTCTCTTCGTAAGTGGAGCACCTGCCCGTCAAATTACGAACTATTGCTCCGACATCGTTCGACACTATCGCTGCCACTATGTGAGATTTCGAACTATGGTACGCCATCTAGTTGTGAGATTTTTTTGGACCTCGTTTTGCCCCATAAGGTTGGGCATCTTCCCAGCGTAAGCGTAATATATCAATCAACGGTATAAGTGATATTGGTTGTAGATGTGTCCAGTCCATTGCTTACTAACCTTTGTTTTACGTTTATCGTCATGCTTAGCGCAGAATGAATAAATTGTTCTCGAAGATGGGTGCTTCATTTTTACACTTCTTGGAGATATGCAAGTACCAGAACATTCTCTTCGATTTCACTTTCGTCTACATTTCGCATATATTTTCAATGAAGAATTCTGATACAAACGAATATTGTTTGAATAATTCTGATACAAAATTTGAAAATAACAGTTGACAGTTAATACAATTGACAGGCCAGACATGTCTCAAATTACTGAAGCTGTGTTTAATGAACTGTGTTGCCATGGTCATGTGTTCAAGAAATTATTAATTATGTAGGTTTGTAGGTACATTAAATATTGGATCATCATTCCCAATCACTCCATCTTCGAGATATCCTAATTATACATAGGGTATAACTATTACGTCTTTGAATAATGTCAGATTGCACAACTTTGAACACTGTTATATTTTATAACAACAAAGAGAACTTGGGTGGATTTCTGAGAGTCCAGAGGAAATGTGACATTCAACCTCAAATATCTGGAAAAACAAACTCAAAATATGATCAGATGATTTGCCCCAAAATGTCACTGCGCTCCAAGAATTTTCCTATCAGAGACCCTAAAAGGAGAATTCACTTGTTTGTCAAAAAATTTGGAATAATGAATGTACCACCTGCTCGTTCAACCCGCAGACAGTATTCATTTTAGTTCAAATTTCCTCCTGCAGGTGCTAACATATAGCGAAACACGTGTCGAGGAGTTTGAAAACTTGGTTTGTGGTTAAACATGTAGTGAATTATCATGCCAAAGTTTCCAGACTTCGATATGGTAGATATGGATTTCTCGAAATTATGAACTTATTCAATTCTGGAATTTTTTGAATTAGGTACAACTTCAGATAACAGCTAATAGATATTCCTTCCGGTGTACGTCAACATTAGCACAACAATAACAATTTCTTTGGTGAGTTGAGAATATCATTCAATTCGAAAATAAAGTTTGGTGCTTGCTGGACTCAACATTCGAGCAAGAACATTTGGGGCATCGCATGTGATTATGAATTGAAATCCATCATATAATTCTATTCAATATCCATCAGGCTGTTTGAACAAAGAGAAAAAAAATAACACATTACGTTTACGACACAGTCAATATATTAGAATATAAGAGAATAACTTTCATGAACTATTGTAGTGAAGCAACTCAACAATAAAGGTACTCCCAGATCAATCATTTCAAATAGTCGACAGTCGATGTTTCCGGATGGATGACAAATTGATATTCATCATTCAGGACTAGGAAAGAAATTCTGAATTGAAAAAACCCGAACACGAATCTGCGATTAGAGGTCTGTATAAAATTAACAAGTTTCCATCGTTCAAGTTTGAACCCTTTGATTGGGTATGAAAGTATTAAAGAGGAATATTTTCAGATATATTATGAACATGATAAAAAATATATCAGTTTCTGCATGTTCATGATATGTCTAAGAATATTCTTTCTCAATAATACTCATCACAGTACATATTGTTTGTTTTTTGGGAAAGAAAGTTTCATTTACTTCAGGTTAATTTATTTTTCTTTAGAAATGCCACTAGCTTTTCACTACTCCGACAATTATTGTCAATGTAGAAAGATGGAAGAATGGAAATGATTTAGAATTCAATATACGAAATAGACAGATTTATACAATACAATAAATTGTTTAAGAAGAGTTACAATGAATATAAACTTACTTGAAACCTTCGCATGTCCCTGGGATTTCCTGCATTTTTCAAACAATTCTGGTTGCACTTCAGGAAGAACTTGAGGAAGAATCTGAAATAAATGAGGAATAACTCAATAATGAAAGACATACCTAAATTTTAAAAGCAGATGAGTATTCATTCAAATCAAGATCATTTCTCGAATAACAAAAATAATCAGTAAATTATTTCAATTCTCTATTTGATGATTCATTTTGTTCAATAATAATATTTCATCAGATATGTATAGTTGGTATAACTTCCAATATTGATCATTGACATTGAAGAGAGGCAGAATAATATTCTCCAAATATCTATATTTCATTCGAATAATCGATGAATAACCGTAGGATTCGTATAGGGTAGTTATAAAAAATTTCTGCCCTGTCGCATTCAACTTGCTTCATAATAATATGCACTTGCATAACAACTTAATTCACTATCCAACAAACGTTGTCAAATCTTTTTCATTGTAAAAATTCACAGTGCGATTATAAAATTCTAGAGTTCCATTTAAAACCAACTAAATAATGCTGCACTCTAAAACAACCGACTGTGCAAACAATTCAAGGTGGATGAGAGTAAAACGGTTAAAGAGGAGAGAAAAGCATCCCGGGAGGCCGCGATCATATTCATGTCCTGCTCTAATGTTATTATGCTCGACGTAAATAACCGCAGGTTGCTGGGATAATAAGAGTTATGTAGTGGTAGCAACAAAGTGATTCAGGTGAGTTTGAAAACTATACCGGGAGATTTTCCACGGTGGCCCACCCCTATATAGGTTTTCCATTATTGAAGGTTGTAAAACGAAATTCGGGGGTATTGAATTATAGTTCAATTGATATTTTGTTGACAAACGTATTCAACGATACTGAGTTTGATAGAGTTATTTCAAACGATTACGAACATATTCGCATTCGATATTTCCATATAAAGGATCAATGGGTGCGACAAAAAAAGAAATTTCTATACTGCGTGTTTCATAATATATAGAAGGTGTATACAGAATATCATAACAATATCTAAGAGTGATAAAAAATTATGATGAAAAACTCATTTTTTCCTTGAAATTTCATCACCCTGTAGCTCAATAATTAAGAGGTTTAGGACATATGTTGATATGAACTTTTCTCTTTGAAATCATCCAAGGATTATCGCCCTCAAGGATCAGCATTCAATTATGAAACACCCTGTATATGCAATGGAGAGATAATTTGGTGATTTTATTTGAAAAATATTTTTTCTCCCTTATAGCGTACCCGAGAAAGTGCCATTAAGTCGTTCAACTTTTTCTGATGCACACCACACCGTATAACGGCCAAATATACATCATAAAGCAATATAAAACTCTTATCATCCCTGGCGAGCGCCCAAAACCCCCTCGACCCGCCGCCTTCCGCTCGGTTTTCTTTTTATCTCTCGACGACGGAGAAAACCGGGGAAAACGGTGTAAACACGAAAACCGCATCGTAGCGTCTCGACGGGGCTGTTCGGAGTTAAGTTAGTTACGCAAGAACGTCTCCTCAGGAACATAATTTATAAGCGATTCATCTACGCGCGAGTGTCGACGAGAAATTGAGCGAAAGTTTCGAGACAACGCGATGCAAAATGCCAAATGAATTAAATTTCACCAGACACGAAGTTATCGTTATATTCCTCATCTACAACTGTTGAGTCTCGGCAATTGATTGACAGCACTATCCTTTGACTCTGAACATGGATAAAGCAGAATCAATTAGATTCCATAATCGTCAAAAAAATTACAGATAATCAATGTGTACACATTGTTCAAGAAGTCAAGTTTTTAGGGCTGGATGTGGATGAGTTCCTTACATGGAATAATCATTGCCAAATACTAGAATCTAACTTGAATTCTTACTCATGTCAATTCAGGAATCTCAAACCAGTACAAATAGAGTCCACAGCCCAGACTAAGATACGGAGAACGCTTCTGGAGCTTATCTACCGCATCATCAAATGTTTTTATTGCACAGAAACGTATTATACGCATGAACACTCCTAGATATATCGAATCGGTCCTCTTGTTGAGACCACTTTGAGAATATGAAAATCGTGACACAACCACCGTTGTGAATTCCTGAATTCTGTCTTTATGTATATAAAATAGAAATAACATCTCGATAAATAATTCAAGGTACGAATTCAATACCAATAATAAATAATTCAATATCAAAGAGATCACTTTTATAATCCGTTCAGTAGTACGAACATGTATTATTATTATTCTCCTAGGGAAATGGCTTTCCAAATTCATATTTTATTATCCGATGAAATGAAAGAAAATAATACCTACATTTCACAGTTTCTAAAGATCATTAAAGGATTTTCTAGTGAGAAAACGTTTCTATTCTATAGAGAAATATCTACAAATGTATGTATATTATCATTATGGTGTGGCCAGGTAGCCGTGCGGACAGAGTGTCTATATTCTAATTCGCATTCGCTTGCCGGTCGTGGGTTCGATCCCCGTCGACTGCAGAAATTTTTCTGATGGCCCAAGAAAGTGTTTGGGATCACACGTTAAAAGGTAAGGCCCCCGTCATTCCTTGCTCGCACAAGACTTTCGAAGACTTTTGAGGGTTGCTCGTAAGGGGGCAACCGAATGACGGATAGAACAAATTTTTTTTTTAAATTATATAAGTATATAAGTAATTTCACAAAAATATTCGAAAAAGTGTTGAAAGTCAGAATAGAAGCATTTATGCAGAAATATGAATTTCTTTCTGAATACTAGTTCGGCTTTCAGAAAAATAAGTCTACTGAAGATGCAATATCAGGCCTAACATCTAAAATGTATGGAGCAATAGACAAGAGCAAACCATCTTCATGCGTATTCCTGGATCTTGCGAAGGCCTTCGATACTGTGGACCATAAACAGTTGTCGGAGGCCCTGCACAATATGGGTTGTAGAGGTAACATTCTAAAGCTCTTTGAAAGCTATCTCGAAAATCGCAAGCAAATCGTTAGAATTGGTCAACAAAAAAGTAATGAAAGAACAATTAGATGTGGAGTTCCACAAGGTACAGTCCTGGGCCCCATCCTTTTCTTAATTTATATCAATAACCTTCTCTCCATAAAAACCACCGGAACCATATTTAGTTTCGCCGATGATACATCAATTTTCTACACTGCAGAATCCTGGGTTGAATTGAAACATAAGGTAGAATTAGATCTTCAAAACATAATTAATTGGTTCAACCATAAATTATTAACAATCAATTTCAAGAAGACCATGTTTCTTCCAATATCCAGCTACACTAATAATCTACCAGATTACACCTCTCTTGATATCATCAATGAAAATAAGACTATCACCATCAAGAAGACGGATAGAGTCAAATACTTAGGAGTAACCATTGATTGCCACATGAGATGGGATCTCCATATCACTCAAATAATTAAAACTCTCCGGACTTTGTTACATAATTTCAAACTCCTCTCCCAACTCATGGAATTACCCCAACTAAAAATGATTTATTATGCACTAATAGAATCAAGATTGAATTATGGAATACTAGGGTGGGGGGGGGGAGTGGCCAATTGCTATTTGGAGAAATTGAACATCTTGCAGAAGCTCTTTCTCAAAATAATGCACAATAAAAATAGGAGATTTTCCAGTGACCAGTTGTATAAAGAAACTGGAATATTTGACACTCGCCAGATATATTTCTGTAAATTAGCTACATACTGTCATCAAAATAAGCAAAAATTTGGTTCCTTTACACATTCATACGAAACTCGAAATAAAATAAATGAAAACTTACCAACTGCCACCAGCACCAAAACTGTTGGACAAAGAAGTCATATGTTTCTGGCCTCCAGAATCTACAATTTTCTACCCCAAACCATTAGAAATATAATTCCTCGCCATATTTTCAGATATAATGTGAAAAAATTCTTGCATTCCGTAGAAAGACGTAAAATTCAGCACATTATAAATAATACAGCCCCTCCGAATTAAATAAAATTTCATTTGATAGCTTTCACCGCATTCTCGATCAATTCATCATCAAATATTTCCCAATAACTTCTTGATGCATTTTATAACTTATTTTTATTGTTATTCATTTAGTCTTAGTCGCAAAATCATATTAATAATCTATAGTATTGTTATACTCAATTATTAGGAATTTAGTAGGTACTTTTTAAATCACTCACACCGCGGACAGCCAGTGGCTTTGCGGTTTGTCCCTCTGTTTATTTGCATTCATAGTATATAAGATGTTGTATTGTTGAACTTTATCCAAATAAACCTTATTATTATTATTATTATTATTATTTATGTTCATGTAATTCCAGTCACGACGCAGAGTCGTGCTGGATAAAATCCAGTGACTACTCCTCACAGCCTGTGAGGTGAGTAATCACTGGGACCAAGTACCGTGTGCCCTGAGTAGACGCAATGATCCTAGTATGACGGCCTTCTGCATACCACCAGCCAGGATGTGTGCCTTATCACGGCACGCTGGGATTTTCTGGATCTCCGAGACTAGCGTGTGTCGTGTGCCTCCTAGGGAGCCGATTATCAGGATGACCAATTCCACAGAATGGTCTGGATAGAGCCGGCGGAGTTCGAAGAGAAGATCTCGATATTTAGTCCGTTTCTCCTCCTCCTTCAAAACGATGTTCGGTTCGGCTGGCGCCGAAAACTCGATCACGAACATCGCTTTGGTTTGATGGTCGAGGAGGACTACATCAGGCTTGTTAGCTTGTATTTGCCTGAGGGTGGGGAATGAGAAGTTCCAATAAATTCGGCACCATTATTATTATTATTATTATTATTATTATTATTATTATTATTATCATTATTATTATTATTATATGTGATTATTTAATATATTTCGGATGTAACTGTTTGAATTTAAGTTATTTGTGTGTGCTTCATTCTACTCATCTAACATAGATATCTGCTTCTCCTGAAATGACGAATCCAACACAATTTGCAATTGTCAGATAGAAAATAAAGATATTATTTTCATTATCCTTAATATCATTCCAGCGTCCTGTCGAACTCAACTACATGGTATTGATGACTGAACGCGATCAATAATA